TGTTTTTTTTGTAGAAGGGGGAAAGGGAGTTGGTGCATTTTGGCAGGTGTTCTGTTTGTACCAGTGTCTCTTGCTAATCCTGTAGCTGTTTCCTCCATCTGTGAAAGGAGAAGGATGTTATGTGCTCTCTTAAGAATGCTTTCAGACTTTTCCCCCTCTGAAGTGCCCCAAAGGATGAGCACAGAAAAGCCTAGAATGGTTCTCTTGTGTGATAATCCTAACGAGGAGCTGCCCATTAACGAGAGATTGAGAATAGGGAATAAATCACCCGGAGCCAACTCCTAGGCTTTGAATAACATTTAGGTTTTAACAAAGAGAAAAGCAATTCCGTTACACTGTTGCAACTTCTACAAAGTTGATATTAGCAATCACATGTGATTGTTTGGTTTTTATTATTATCATTTTGTTGAATGTAGTGCTTATGAAAGGCACCGGGGTCAAGGTTTTTGAAGGTTTTTTGAAGAGATTTCAATGGGAGTTAGGTGCCTAGAGGGATTTTCAAAAGCATCTAAGTGCCTTTAAATGTCTGGCCCTGGGTTAACGACCCCAGAGAATAGACCTGTGTTTATTCAGAGGGTAGGTACTATCCAGGCAGTGGGAGTGCAAGCTTCAGCCCAGACCTGGAGAGAAAAGTTGGGCTTGTGGTTGGTGCCTTAACCACAAGTCAGATGATTGGAGTTCATTTCCCAGCTCTTACCCATGGTCACACAGGATGGCTGTGGAAGTCATCGGACTACTCTGTGCCTCGGTTTACCATCTGTAATATTGAGACAGTGATTCCCTACCTCACAGGATAAGTTAGTATCTATGAGATACTTTGATACTACAGTGACATGGGCCATATAAGTACCTAAATGCACACTTCTAGGGATGAGAAGATAGTTTTCCTATGGACCACTTTAATCCTTGGCTTCTCTGTGGAGGATGCTAATGAGGGTTCCTGTTTATACCAATTGTAATGTGGATGCCTGCCTATTAAGGCCAGGTCTATACTACAGCTTCCTGCTGGCATGGCTAGGCTGGTCAGAGATGTGAAGAGGCATGAGCCCTGACTGACTTGGCTGTACTGGCAGAAGCCCCTAGAGTATATGCAGCTATACTGACCAAACTGGACTTTTATCAGTAGAGATTGTTTTGCTCCCGGGGGGTGATCTTACTATACTAGTAAAAAGTGCAGCTTTGTTGGTAAGAGTGCTTTGCTTGTATAGTACACATGATTTTAGGCACTGAACTGAGATCACCAACTCCTCTCATACAGGCCACCAAACACCCATCACATATTGGCAGTTTCAGTCACACTTGTCCTGTATTGTCGTGTTGGTGAACCAGAGGTAAAAGGCTCCAGACTTCATTGCCACCCCTTCAGCCCTCCAGTCCTCCCTCCATTTCCTGTAGGATTTTTCAGATGCTACAGTCATGCCAGCACTGATTTTTAGAAAGCAGAGTAGTGAGACGGAATCAGACTATGCATTACCTACGTGTTCTTACTTGTTAGAAATGCTGTTAATGCCACGTTATATACAAGATTAGCTTGTACGTCATGTATTTTTCCCTTTTGCTTGGCCTTGTAGTGATATCCTGCTTGCTTGTTTCTGGCTTTTGCTAACATAGAAATGTGTGTGTAAGAGAGAGAGAGAGAGCTGTTCAGCACGTAAACTGGGAGTTGAAAAGCAAGGCTCATAAATCAAGGTTCATATAAGACCCAAAATCTGACCTACCTTTTTTCTACTTGCAAAGCCCATGTAACTTATAATGGAACTGAGACCTACAGGTGCTACCACATTACAAATAATTGAATAGTAGTAATTCTCAGAGCCATAATGAGGGCTTCCAAGATGCAGAGGTGGTGGTTAGGTACTAGACCTGTCCATGGGGATTATTCAGAGTATTTATCCCGGAATCTCCATTTCTATTACATTCATAGGTTACATGGAAAGAGAGAGCAGATGGAGTTGCATGGCGAAAGAAGGCAGAACTAGCTTGAGCAATGAAGACCTATTGTTGAACCTCCTCCCCACACCTCACTTTGTCCCAAAAAAAATCTCAAAACACACACCGTTTTTTGGAGGTTAAAAAAATGTGATTCATTGTTTCCATTTTCTTGCCTGATTTTGACTGGGATTAGAAGTAGCAATAGATATTTCTAACCTGGCTGGGAGAAGAAAGCCTCCTGTGCTCAAGATTTGCAGCATAAATATTCTAGCCAAGTTTATGATCTGAATCCTTGCATGATCCTGAATTACCTCCCAGCCCTGTTTTTCCTCCTGGGATGTGTCTCTTTTTTCTTTGGTATATTCTAGCTATCATTTTATTTAATGAAAGGGCAGATAAGTAGCTGGGTACCCATTTTGTACAATGTTACTGCTGTTTATGGACTACGTTTACAACTTGGGGCCCTCTTGGATTTTTGAAGGTGCAGTTCTGCTTCAACGACCAACTTTTTCAGTTGATTTGGCTCATCTTAGAATTGTCTGCCTGGGCGCCTCCTTTCTCGGGTACATGAGCCCGTTATTGACGCACACAATAAGCATTTGATTAACGGTGAACAGGCAATGGAGAAAGCAGCTGTGCGCACCTCTTGAGTGTTTTACGTGTTTACACACATGCACAATACATCTGAATCCTATGGAAGTGAGCTACAGTGTTGGACAATGATCTGTGATCTGTCAGTCTGAAGCTGGTCATGGTGCGTAAGCGCTAGCTGCTAGCACTAGGATGGAAGACATGGATGAACTCCTCAGTACTAACATTAAATGTGGATTAACAAAAATCAACTTTTTTTAAAAAAAAAAGAGAGCCAGTGAGAATCCTTATGGTGCTATTGCCACAATACACAAGAAACAAAATCTGCGAAAGATGACACAAACAGCTTTGGTACATTAAAAGGATTTGTTTACAGCAACATGTCTGTCAACACAAGAGGAAGCCCTCCTTCTGGCCTTTACAGATGGCTTTCCCAATGCACAATAATAAATTTACAAGACAACAAAAAAACATACTGCTTTAAAATGTAAATAAGTGGCAGCCCTAATGATTTAAATTGACTAATGGAGCAACTACTTGTTTACAGAGATGCTAGGCAGGAATTCCTTCTAGGTCAAGGTTTTCATAAATAGACTACACAGGTTTCCATTAATATCACAAGTGCAGAGGGCTCTGTCTGTTTATCACTACAGCATCACCTCCTGAATGTGCACGTAAATGGAGCCCAAAGTTAGGTGTTTGGACGACTGGACAATGGCACATGCTCTGATAAGCTTAACATTGCATACTGTCATCTGTTGAGCAAGACATTCATGTCACGCTCATTACTGTGTTATCCAAGCAATGTTGCAACCTCAACCATCAAAAATCATGGGTTTGGCTTAAAATACATGGGATTATATAGGAAAAAAAGAAAAAGCTGGGTCCTTTTTCACTTCTGATTTTTCATGTTTTTAGGGTGCACTTTGGTCATGTTTCCAAGGTTTTGTTTTCAGGCATGAGGGCTAGAAATGTACTTTTTAAAAATCAAAACTGAAAGTTCTAACACAATCACATGAAACCAGGAACTGGGGCTTTAAGAAAAAACACAGATTTACAAGGCTTGCAATTAAATTATGAGGGGTGGCAATGCTGAGTGCCTTATAAATATTAAAAATATTGCAAACAAGGGAATCTGTGTGGAATTCTGATCGATCTGTGCAAATACTCTGGTCCTTATTCACTCTGCTGCAACCTGGGAAGGCTCTCAGCAGCAGCAGTGGCACTCGAGCTGTCTGCAGACTTGGGGCCTTATCTAATGCTGAAATCAAAGAGGCCACTGTATTGGTTTCCTCTCCATTCATATTCGGAAGGTAACCTGTGCAAGGAAAAGGGCTAGAACTTTAATTTAAAAAAAAAAAAAAAAAAGCTGAGATTCTGTGGAAGTTGATGGCACTTGCCTGGGAAAGCTGCCAACTCCCCATGGGTGAGTGCACAAGAGGATGTGTCAAGCCTGGCAAATAGCCTAATTATACAATTAACTGATAGGCAATTAACTAGGGTAAAAATGCAGGCAATCTGATGGGATCAGATTGAGACTGAGAGATTTCTACTGAAGATGGGCAAAATGAAGGGTGGCTAGGGTTGGCTTAGCAAAACACGAAAAACAAAATTAGGGATGGTCTGGAGCCAGGTCCCATTGTCTCTGAGTTCAAGATGGGCCCTACTTCAGAGATGGTAGGGATCTCGTGATCGGAGTGTTCTGATCTGGGGTCTCGGCTTGAGACTCCAGCACATCCCTTCAGTGGGCCAAAGTCCAGTTTGGACTTGCCTGTACTCTGAACCACCAAAATTTTGTTGAGGAGTGTGAGGGTGTGTGTGTATTTGTGATAAATAGACCGAATCTAGGACAATCTTTCATTCTTCTTTGCATAAGCAGATTGTGCAGTTACACATTCCATTAGTATAGATCTTCTCGTTCCTACTCAACGGACCAAACCCTAATGTCCTTTGCCCCCTACCCCACATCTGGCAGTAAAGCTCTGGTCCCTTTAGAGTTAGTCTTAAACTACTCCATGACAGTAAGTAGTATAGTGTCTTATGCCATACTGTTAAAAACATGTACATAGTTCTGTGATCTGTGCAGAAGATGGTAAACCAGGTGTTAGGGGGGGAAAAAACAAAGTTCCTGCATATGTTTTTTGAGGTTGGAACTTGATCGTCAAAAAAGATGTGTGTGCTGGTAAACTTTTTTTTTTAACTGAAAAAGACTTAACGAGGCCAGCCCTTTTCATGGGCATGCTCGGGTGACAGCAAGACAAAGCATCTGTGGGTTCACGGCAAAATAGCAGTGTCTGAGTGGCACAGCTGCTGTTACCATAAAAGAAAACAAACCCAGGGCCCTTTGTACAAAGGGTTTTTCTTTTTGTGAAGTCTTGAATAAGTGCTTTCCTTTCAAGGGAGCAGAGACAAAATGGCTTCAAGAAGATTTTTCATAGACACTGAAAAGAAATTTTTTTTTTTTGTTCCCTCTGCAGACAAGAAATTAGCAAGAAGTAGATTCAAGTGTTGGACACCAGCCTTCATCCTGTTGGATCCTTATCTGCAGCTAATTACTGTTCACTGCACTAGAGGTAAATAGCAGAGAAATCACTTTTATGCTGATTTAAAAACGAGGTCAAGTATTAGTGCCCTTTGCAGATGGCTAACTTATTACAAGCATCTCTCTACTTACAGGACTTGACATTACCTTGTAACCAAAAAGCACATACCATGTGTTCTTTAGATTTAAAGACTACTATAGATTCCTCATATGTTTGAACACAGAATTAATATCCTTGCATGTTATCACTACAGTATTTGGCTGCTGAGATGAAAAATCTAGGGTAATAACATATATAGGACCACTCATTGATGTTCATTGCCCAGATGGGCATCAGTATGAATGGTTGGTTTGGTGACATTATAAAGCCACGGGCAGTATGGGGGAAGTTTCCTGTTGAACCGGTTCTGTAGAGAAATATAGGGCTTCAGGGTTTCCAGCGTTGCCTTCACAACAGCCAAATTCATGTAGCCATAGAGGAAGCAATAAAAATCTTTATGAATCTGGCTGACAAGGTCTGTGGTTTAGAAGTAATGTTATGGATGCCAACTGAATGACTCCTCTCGCACACTGGCCACTACAAAGCTGCCAGATGACTAACTCTGTCATTACTAGACGTGGACCAGAACCGTAACACTTTGTCCAAAAGCCCCACCAACTCTGGGTCCAAATCTGAGTTTGGATTAGGCCAGTATCCAGGACCAGGTCATGAGAGGTGCCAAGCATCTACAGCTCACACCAAAGCCAATGGAATTAAATCAAAGGCTGGCAAGGCATGGGGGAAATAGTAAGAACTTTCCTCTTCGTATTTCAGTACTTTAACCATTCTAGGAAGGTCTGAAATCAGTATTCATCTAGTCTGTATTTGAACCAGTGATTTAAAATGGAGGTCAAAGTTTTCATATCCTATTGTCATTCACCTGAGTGATCTCCTGTGTCAACGTGTGTGTGGTATTATATAGATCACTGCTCTCTCAGATGTGTTTTTGCCAAGTACTACCTGGTTTGTTGGTTGTATGTTTTTTCAGTCCATTTTGTGGGTTATGTGTGTGTCTCCTCCTAGGTCTGGTCTAAATGTAAAAAGTTTTACTGGCATAACTATGTTGAGAAGGGGTGTAATTTTTTTTTTAACAGGCATACACATGCTGATAAAAGCCTTAGTGTAGATGCAGTTATACTAGTATGAGACACTTAATTTACTGAACAGAAATAAGCTATACTGGTCTAAGCATTTTTTTTAACTGATATTACTGTGTCTTCTCTGTGGGAGGGGGAGAGGGTTGCCCTTTTTAATTATGCTGACAGGGTTAAAACAGCAAAACTTTTGAGTATAGACAAGGCCTGATTCAAATGGTGGCAGGAATCAGGAGGAAATCTGTGTTAATAGTCCCTTTGGGTGATCATTTTATTCCTTGAAGCAGAGAGTTGAGAGTAGCCCTTCATGCTGGTGCAGCTGCAGATTTAGTTGCTATACATACTAATATAAATGTCTGTTTGCCCCAACAATATCATGTCTCAGTGAGTTCCACAGGTGAAATGCACTTGCCACTCTCTCTATAAAGAATCATTGAAACACTATTTTAAAACAAAAGTATTCCCTTTTATGCACTTTCAAATTGAAGGCGGCAGTTATTGGTAGGGCCGTTGGAGAAGGCTGGTACTTCATTTTCATCAGGTTTGTGAGTCTGTAGTTGTTCAGAAAACTTTAAGTTGAAAGTTTATCTAAAAAATTAAATGCCCTTGGCAAATAATCAGGCCAAATTACAGCTGCTAAATGAGCACAATACAGAGGGTGTCATGTGTAATGCTTGCAGTTGCTCTGTCTGTGCACTGCAGAGTCTTCTGTAATCAATATGCTGTAGAACAAATGAGCTTTAAAAACACTCACTATTTTATTATTCTTATTAATAACGAGGCCCTGGAAAATATCCATGAAAGCTTAAGCTCATAATTAATAAATGCTGGCTGGGTTTCTGCTGCCAAACAGCAACCTTGAGAAGTCTGGGGAACATATCTCCATCCAGACAGCAGAGGGTGCTTGTGTGTGTTGCAGATTAATAAGGCAGTATAGTAAAAATATTTTCATATGGCTAATGGAATTTGAGATAATGTCTTTTGTTCTTCTAGCTTGGGAGTGTGGGGAAAGGCTGCCGAAAGTCATGCTTTAGAAAATGTGAGGCAAGTGGCTAACCTTTCCTTGCAGAGCTGGGCCCAGCAGAATTCAGCTCTGAAATACCACAATACAGGGGCGGTGTCTCTTTTCCTCTGCTCTGATAGGTCTTTATTTTTCCCTTCCCTTCATCCTGTGGGTTAGGAGAAGGAGTTGCTATCTTATATCAGAACAGCAGCCCTGTTAAGGCTGGTGGCCTACCCTGGAGCTTTCTGCTGAGAAGATCTTGGAAATCAGATTTGGAGAGATATCAGGTCAGCTTCCTAGATTAATCCATTTGCTTAATGGGCAATAATCTTGCACAAGAACAAAGAGTGGAATAGAATTTTAAAAAATCCCCCAAACCTATAAGGTTCTGTACTTGACCACTGACCTTGCTATCAGGTTCAACAATAGTACTGTGGTTTTTACGTAGCTTACTTAATCATCTTTCAGAATCCATTTTTGCCGTAGCACATATGTGTTTGGGTTTTTCAAAGATAGGAATAAAATCACATGATCTTCCAGATTTTAATGGGCTTTTCTGTACTCTAATTCCTACACTCAGTCTTTCAAAAACACCAGTTTACCGTAAGCCCTTATCACACAAACACGTTACACTTGGCAATGGCCTCTCCTGTAAGGCAAGTGAAGTAGTGTATTGAAGGATGGACATTGTGCTCCCTTGGTTAGAGCAGGCGACTGGGAGACAGGAGTTCTGCCATCTGCTTCTGATGGTTGCGAGGTAAACTTTCCAGTTGTGACCCAATGAAGTGCTGTCTTCCCAAGTCTGCAGACAGACTATGAAATGTGAACTCTGAGAAGAGTGAACAGGGGCCCTGTTCATTGCTTGGGGTTGTTAACTCTGGAGATTATTGATGATTGGAGGGTTAAATGTCACAGCTCTCCAACTAATGTAAGGGACTCCTCACACAGAGAAGGCAGCCGGTTTTAAAGAGAAGAGCATATTTAACTATTTTCTAGTATAGTCCTCTGAGATAGGTAAGGGAGAGCTGCCACCTGTGGGTACTGGAGGATCTGAGAGGGGGAATGAAAGATCTTAGAGGTGAAGTAGGATTTAATAACAGACAAGAATGAGTGAAAATTCATTTTACCCAACTCTATTCCATAGAGACACATCATTTACTCTGAGTTCTGAGATCTTGTGCCCCTCCAAAATCCCACAAATACTCCCAAAACTTCCACAGAATCAGACCAAAAAAATCTATGGAATTTGGCAAAGTTTTTTCCACTGGTTATCGATGATCACTGGGAAGAATCTGTGCTGGGCCCCAGCGTGCAGCTCCAACCCACCTGATCAGCTGACCTGATCAACTCACCACTATCCTCTCAAGTGCAATGTGCAGTTCTTCTTTGATTATATGTCCCTATGAGTGTTCCAGTGAAAGATGTGTGCGTGCCCAAGTGCTCTCGATTGGAGATCTTAGCTAGTAGTGTCCGCAAGTCCATACCTGCACACTACACCTCCTCATGCTCCTATACAAGGGCCAGAGGCAAGCGGAAACCTACTGCCATTCCAGTTCATCCTCAGCCACCCTCAGGTCGAGACAGTTCAGTGGTGCCCGCTACATTGGGAGCTACTATTCTTTTAGTTTTACTTAATTTAGTTTGAATTTTGTTTTATTCCCTTTAAGCACACTTGTGCTTTCGGAGGAGCAGGGTTTCCCTCCTCAAACTTCTTTTTCATTGCCCTCAGCTGTTCTATCCCCAACTTTCCCCATTGGGCTATGCCAAGGACTCCAGGCTTTGAGCCTTGTGATATCTGCCACAGGTCTTTTCCCCCTCATCGACAGGCATTCCAACTGCCTCAGAGAGTCCCACCTGTGGGCAAGGTCTGCAGAAGCTTTAAGAGCAGAGCTTGCAAACTGAGGGAGGATAGGCAGATGATCGCTCTTATGGAGCATTCTCTGAGACCTGCCAGGTCCCAATCTCCCCCATACATCGGCCTCAGCTTCTCAAGCTGTGCTGGTGCCTTTAACTTTGGCAAGCAAAGATGATGGGGCTGCTTTGGAATCGAAGCATTCTGAGAGAGAGACCTCATTCCCCAGAGAGACTCCAGGAAGAAGGATGAAGTTGCCCCTGAGTTCAGAACTTGTGCTCCTGTATGGGTGTTGCCAAAGCTTTTGCAGGTGCCAGTACCTATCCAGAAAACCCCAGCTTATGCACCAAGGGGTCATCTAGCAAGCACCAGTCTGCTCGAAGTTGGTGCCAGAAGAGTAGTCCTGTAGATGCAAGAAGGGTTCTGGAAGTAAGGACTTTCCTAAGAAGTCCACATCAACTGCAGTACCTTCCTCCTTGGGTCACAGCCACAGGACCATTCTATTCATACCTCAGCTCAATCCCCCTCGGCATGCATTCCTATGGGGTGCCTGGGCCACACCTTCATACCATCTCCAGTGCCTTTTCAGGCTATGATGAAGCACTCCCTGGTACCAGCCTTGTTCATCTTGCACAAGGACCTCTGGGTCATGAAGGAACCAGGCTCTCCCTCCTAAGGGGTACCAGTAGGGGCCCTTCTTCAGTCCTGCCTGGATCTGGAGCCTCCATCTGCACTACCCCCAGCACAGTGCAAGTACCAGCCTGACTGCCTGCCCGCTCCTCCTTGCACTCTGGTACCAATTCCAGCCCCAATACCGACACCAAGGGCTCCTGCCTTTGGCTGCTACAGAGAAGACATCATTGGACATCTTTGTCCAGAATTCTGCCTCTCTGCTTCTCAACTCTCTGGAGGTGTTTCTTGAGGAGGAGAATCTGTCCACAATCAACAGGTGCCCTCACCAATCCTGGCCAGAGCAAGCCTAGGGCCCTACTCCCTTCCCCTATGGACCACCACAGTAGGCATTTGGGCCCCTTATGATGACTGTTATAGGGAGCTGGTCTACAAAAGGCCACATACTGACCTAAACCCCTGGTACGGCAGGACCCTCTACAACACCCTCTGGTACTGCAGGTCCCTCTACCCCAAGAGGAGACTGCTGATAAAGATGAGCTGGTAGCTGAGGAAGAGACACCACTGTCGTCATCCTCTCCCGATGAGGCCGTCGTACCTCCCGACTATGACTTATGCTGCTGACTTCATACCCTTCCAGGACCTGGTTAGAAGAATTGTGGATCACTCCAGATTCCTCTGGAGGAAAATCAGGAGGCTCAACACACTCCTGGAGGACATTATATACTCTGTCCCCCAGGGTAAAACTGCCCTGCCCATCAGTGAGGAGCTGCTGTCTCCAGCACACGCTGTTTGGCAGATGCCTACCACCATCTCGCCCATCACAAGAGGGCAGACAAAAATACTACATTCCAGTGAAGGGCCTGGAGTACTTTTTCTCCCAGCCTACTCCCAGTTATTTGGCGGTGGATGCCGTCAATAAAGTATCGTGGCAAACTCACAGCAAGTTGTCTCCCTTTCTCTGTCCCAACAAGGAACTCAAATGACTGGACTTGCTGGGATGAAAAAGCTGCTCTGCAGTTTACGGGTGCAAACTACCAAGCCTTAATGACTAAATACGACTTATTAAATAATGGAAAATTCATGGACTTTATTGATCTCTTGCCACATACCAAAGAGAAAAATTTCAGACCCTTATTTTAGAGGAACAAATTATTGTTAAGGCTTC